GTAGTGAGTGTGTGTGTGTGTTCGAGTGTTAGAGTGATGCGTGTGGGATATCCAGGGTGATCCAGTGTATGTGAACAGTGAGATGTTTGGGCGCTGAAGTCGCCATAGCCAATTGAGAGTGAACTCATATCTGAAAGCCATATCTCTGAGTTTTGAGTGGGCACATGTCGCCAGTATGCTGCGTTGCTGTTTACATGCATGAAAAGTGTGTTTGAAAAACGAGTCTGATTGCAGGGCAACTTCCAGTCTCGATACAGCGATAATGACTGTACAGGGTACGTTCTACTCGGGTGAAGAGAGATGGTACTACTTCACGGGGCTCTCCACCACCGAAGCATGTAAGTTGATGACCTTATCGGTTTTTAGATTAGTAATCAGACGTAGACATTAAAATAGAAATACATAGATTACAAAACCATTACATAGATTATTTAAGAATTAAAACTTCTTTTGTTGATTTTACAATTAAAAGGGCCTTTACAATTCAGACCCCAAATGAGTACCCCAGCATAGTGGGGCCCGACGGCCAGAACTTAATTTCACGTGTAGCATTCCAAAAGACAAGTACTCTGAGGCAAAGGTCGCATCCAAATGAAAAGGAAAAGTTGTGTAGAAAGTCACAGTCAGGTCCTGGATGAACAGTAAGGTCACGTCTGTTCAATAGTAAGTCAAAGGTCACAGTCCCAGGCCAGTCACAGTTCCCAGGGTCACGTCTGATTCAGTCCAGGAGTCCAAAAGACAGGCCCGACGGCCACAGCAGCAGCAGACCATGGGAAAGGGTACTGGGACACACATTTTGCAGCAGCAGGTACTGCGTAAGAGTCCCAGGTGAAGGGAGGCTGGACGCAGACCTCATTCAGTCGGTCCAATCATATAATGGACCTGGCCAGCCTCCCATTCGGCAGATTCTCATTGGCATGAGAGTGTGGAAGTGCTGAGGCACTTGTGCGCCAGAATGCTAGTGAACTGCACAGGCTAGAGAGCTGCGCTAAGGAAGAAGAAGGGAGCTGGGCGCTGGCTGAGAGAAGCAGCCATAGCTGCGCCAGCAGAAGTTAGTAGCAGTAGAAGGGTTAGTAGTAGGAGTACCAGTGAGTAGCATTCAGAGTAGATCCTTGTGTGATAGGGAAAGTGCATGCAAGATGAGTGTGAGTAGGCCAGGACTTTGGAGAGAGACAGAGAGAACAAAGACAAGGAGAGAAGAAAGAGAAGAAAGCTATGGTGTTACTTACCTGTTGAGTGCCACTCTTGATGAGTGGCTGCTGGCGCTGATGTGCACCAGGCCAGGAACTCACGTTGGATGAAGAAGACTTGCAATTCTGTTGGCCACTCTTAGTAGAGTGGAGGGGGAACAGACAGAGGAGTGGCGCCTTCAGCTATGGCGCGCGACTCTCCCTGCGGCACACGACGAACGCGCGTGGAATAGCGGGTACCAGCTCTGATACCAATTGCCATCAGACTCGCTATCTTTCACACTTCACGTGCATGCAAACAGGTTGCGCAGAAACTGGCGACAAGCGCCCACTCAAAACTCAGAGATATAGTAACCAAGAACGCAGTTCAGGTACAAGTTCACTTCAAATGGCTATGGCGGCACAGCGCCTGTACAACTCTCTGTTCGCACACACAGGATCACCCTGGATATCCCACACGCGACATTCTGTACACACATACGCACACACACGCTACACTCTCCTAACAGCTATGGCGACTATGGCCACTGCTACCCTATCGCTATGGCTAAGCTCTTCCTCTCGCCCACTTCGTCTTCGGGCTCACTGCAGACCACCTGGCACAAGTCGCTGTGGCAGCGCTTCCGATGGCTTACGCAGGAATGAATGAATGGCTGGGCACTGCCTCTTGATTTATACTTCTGTAGCTCGTTGGTCTGGCCCTTTCCCATGCCCGCGGTGCACACAGTCCCGTACGGTACTTGCTTGACTGGACTAGGACTGACTGGGACTGGGACCGCTGAATCAGCACGGTAGACTCCACCACTTGGCCACTTGCCTCAGCCCAAACGTGAGCAGCTTCGAAAGGCCAGTAACAGGACCTTCCGGAAGTTTCAATTCTGGCCTTTCGGATACTGTAGCAGCTACGACCTTGACCTTTCAGGACTGTAGCAGCCACGACCTTGACCTTTCAGAGGTCCTACAGCTACGACTTCTAGAACTCACTAAGACCATTATGCTACAGGTCTACAGATCGAACCCCTAACATCTACAGACCCTGCGACAGTCTACCAACTGTGGGAACAGACGCAGGTCGTGGGTTCAACTCCTGGGGTCGACGCAGGTAATGTACACAGGTAAGGTAAGGTCTAGGGATCGAGCCCTGGGATCTGCATTCACTACTGCGAACAGGTGAATACCGTTTCAAGACAATGCTACACTGCCTGTTCAACATGTCCAGAGGCAGAGAGTTTATAGGGCACGGCGAAGACTCTCTAGGGACAGATGACATCGGCCGCTTTTCCAGAGAACAACGCCACTCTGCTGCTAGGCAACGATCTACCAAGGGCTTGGCAACCGTTTGAAAGACTATCTTCCAGCTCCTGAGGTAGTACATACTATGGATGATCTGGAAGAAGCAGTGTCAGATCACCATAGAAAAGAGACCGATGCCCTGGCAGGAGGCAAGAGAGATATACCATGGACTCCTGGAAATGGACCTTAAGGCGCAATGGAAAAGGGTGCAAAGGCAAATCCGACGGCATCCAGAACAGGCGCAGGAGTTGAGGACCTGATTCAGCCAAAAGGGTATTGGGCGGGGAAAAAGTGGCTACCATGCAGGGCTCAAGGAGTGCCGCGAAACAATTAGAACTTCAAGAGAAGAGGGGATGGATGAATAGACAAGAGGAAAGATAGAACTAGATACACAGGGGATAGGAAGTTCGGAAGGAAACAAGAAACAGATACAGGAAGGTGTAGGATTTAGGGTAGGGTTTAGGGTTTAAGGAAGGGAATGGGGAGGAAAGGGTAAGCATAGTGAGGTAATTAAACTAGGAATGGGGGGGGTACAAAAATAAAAACAGGTACGAAGTTCGACAAAGGTTTCTTAGAAAGGGTAGTAGGCACTTGGACAGAGGGTAGGTTGAGTAGAAGAGGAGAAAGAAATGGGCAGATCAGCAGGCAGTGGTTATAAATAATTAAGTATTGATTCTTTGGGAAACTGGTTTCTGGTCACACATCATAAGCAAAACTCGCTAATGCTGCCAGGATAACTCCAGGTTGAATTGTGAGGTCCCCGGCCTCGAATTTCAAGCTATTGATGAAATGAATTGGCTTTGTTTGAAAAAGACAGGAATACAAAAAGAAACCCAAAAATAGAAGCCCGGGACAGATCAATCAAGAAAACAGAAAAACCCTAAAACCCACGAATATATAGGACA